TCTGTTAGGTTTGAATCCACTGTGCAGTTTGTTTCTGGATTGGCATTTATTGTACTACACAAGTAACAAACTAGACATTTGAAGGGAATGGAACCAATTTATATTACTATAAAGGTACTTGGATGGATGATGATAAGATTTGCATGAATTTTTGTCTTTTAACTGTGTGGTCTTTTCCCTGGCCTACTTATTATTGATTCCCTTTAATTTTCTATCCATATTCCCTGGAATCCTTCTCCATCTATATATCAAGGTGGTTCCTTAATCATCTCAGTTCTAGCTATTCTAAAATGTACAAAAGAGAATTAGTGATTCTGCTCTCAATATGTATATAGCTTCATAATGAAGATAAGATGCATGCATTTATAATTCAAGCCTGTGAAATAAAGTGTTAAATATATAATAATAACAGAAAACCTTCTTCAGGACCTTAATAGCCTAGCAGGAAAGGTAAAGATGTCCACTCCCCTATCCTGTTTACTGGACTATTAGATTAATGCACCAAAGCTAGTGGACAGCAGGAAGTGTATGGACTCTGGAATGAGCATATTTGACTTTATTGCCTAAGCGCTGGGCCCAGGTAGGAGAAGGTACCTCAGATTTTTGAATTGGCTTTCTTGTTTGCTTAATGGAGATACCTGTATCTTGTTTTTAGAGCTTTTATGGAAATTTAAAAAAATACTCTTTGTAAAGTATCTTTTAAATAACGCATGCTCTTTAAAGTGTATTCCCCTCTGGTACACTTCTGGTCTAAAGTTTAATGAGCTTGTTGCAGTGGACACAATCCATAAAAGAAAAATATTTCATTGAAATGTGTCCTGGGAGTTGCATGTTTTGACATATGCCATGTTTCTTAAAAGAAAATTGTGTATCCTTTAAAGTTATTAAGTGTCACTTGAAATTTCAAAGCATTAAGTATCACGACTAAAATTAAGTAAGTGTAATGAGTAGATGATACTTTTCAAATTTTACACACAGCCCTCTTTCTCCCAGAAATCACTGGTATAGAAGACAACTGAATTTGTCCTATGATTTTCATTATGAGAATGCCTCTGCTAGGATATGAAAGTTGTTTTTACACTTTAATATTCTACTTTCTAGTCAACCATTTAAAGTCCATGAAGAGTAGAAAAATAGTAAAATATGAAGATTACACGGTAAAGGCCTTTGACCATGTGAAGGACTGTAGGTGGGAGTCAATTAACCATAACTAAGAGTCCTGAATTCACTGCCCCAGCTGGTTATTATTTTTGAGACTCATTATACAATCTGAAAATCAGAGGTTTTATTTTATACTCCCAAGTGTAGAGATAGAGAGCTTTTAGATACAATAGATCCATAGAAACAGTTTGCTTTCTTAAAAGAAGTATGATTGTGACTGTGTGTGCATTATTCAATTAACAAACACCATATATTAAATAACTGTCAGTTACTTTGAAACTGCCGTTGTGTATAGTTAATTTAAAATATATATACTCCTCTCATTGAGGTTTCACAGGAAATGTTCCAGTAAGAACAAAAAATATAAAGAGTTTATATTTTACCCCAAGCTGAAAGTGTGAGTAATCACAACACTCTTCTACAACTTTGTGACATGTAGGTGCTAAAAAAGTAAAATCACTAACAGACTCAGTATTCTTTACTATTCTCCTTTAACATTTGAAATACTGTAATATACCAACTGAGGTGATAGGCTCTTATTTTGGTTGACTTGGGAAATATGGCACCTTATTACGTTTGAAATGTTTAAAGTTATTTAAAGAAATGTTGAAGAATTAAACTTTGAATTTTGTTAAGAGCTTATTTATTCACCTGGTTGAAAAGCAGAAAGGTAAAAAGAGGTGGACAGTGACAATTCTCTTGCTGGCTGGTTTCCCTCTCCAGAGAAAACCACCGTCACCATTTTATTTGTTTCATGCCAGGGACCCTACAATTTGAAAAGCTTAGAGACTAGTCAGAGAAAGAGATCAAGAGTCAGGAATAAAGATTATCAGTGGGCTAAGAATGAAAGTAGAGGTACACTCATCTTATTGAAAAATAAGGAATGATTTTACTGGAGGAACTACTAGAGCCTATCAATTGTGCATATAGCAGCGTCACACACAGATTTCTAGACCAGACCTGTTTGACCAGCTTGGTCTCAGAACAGCTAAGGTAACACAAGGAGAAGTAAGGCTGATGTAAACAAAGTAAAAGACTATTTGAAGTACAGACTTTCTAAAGGCACGGTTCAGGAAGTTTAAAGGGCTGGCATCTGGAAGTTGAGAAAAGGAGGATGGATAGGAAAAAGGAGGGTTAGAAGAGGAGAGGAAAAAAGTGTAACAATCATTCAGTTTCATATTGAAAAATTTAAGATGGTGAGTCAGTCATGCCTGAGTTTTTCTATTTCATTATCCATGTGACTTTGGGGAAACTTTAAATATTCTCATTTGTAAAATAGTAATTTCTTTAAAGAGAGAGCTGTTCATATAATATAAAAAGTGCCTGAAATATATATATATATGGTCTATTTTCTCCAGTGACACATATTAATTATGACTAATAATAAGACAGCTTTCAATCTCTAAAGGACTGAGATTCTCTAGTTAAAGTTTACTCATTAGCTCATCTGTATGCTAGGAGAAAATATGAAAACAATCTATTTTATTTAAATTTGAAACAGCAGAATTCATAGCTGCTCAACTCATAAAGAAGAGAAGGGTACATCACTCAAAATCAATCCAAGAGTTTAAGTTAAATGGCTTTTTTCAGGATGACCAAAAATATAAAATATTACAACATAATGTTACTATACTTCAGTAGAGAAACTTCAGTGCATAAGATGCTGCACCATTTCTTTAACAGCTTAAGTATTTTAACTTGGGTGTTTTTCCTAAGACATTTTCAAGAGGGTAAACTTGGTAATTAGTGGTCTCTAAATTTAGTGCTGTCATTACTCCTGTAGATCCATTTAGTGTCCCCCTTTCCCAGGCTAGTTTGCTCAATTAGCTCATATTGCTTCCCACTTATAAAGACAGAGTCACAGACTGTATCCTAGAAAAGCGGCACTGGCCACCAAGGTTTCTTATATAAATCCTGTTTTACTAAGGTGTTTTAGGCACCTAAGCAGTTTGGAGAAACAGGGGGCAGAGATAAATCTTATTAGGGGCACCCATTGCCACTTTAAAATTTCACTATATTCCCTAAGTTTAAGGCAAGCATGAGCCAAATTGTGTCCTTGTGCCTGAATCTGCCTCAGCTAATGTTTACCAATATTGTCGTGACTCATTTTGAGGCGTGGCCAATGATAAATGTCTCAGTTCTAAGCAAATACCATTACATGTCTCAGTACTAAGCAAACACCATTCAATTAAAATCACTGAAAAGAAGTTTATTCAGGCAAGATAGAGGTAATCACAGAACAAGTTTCATAGAGTATGATTAAATCCAAGCTATTTGTCATAGTCTCCAAAGCCTTGCATGTGTAAGGACTGAGCTAATTCTTTGGGTTCTTGGAAATTGAGTTTGGTAGTTCCCCTTGTAAATACACCATTTGAAATGCATTTCATTGTGCCTTTCTTTATCTCCTCTTCTGAAACTTTATCTCCTCTTCTGAAACAATGTTTAAATGTATTCTACTTTACACTGATTTACAGATTAATCAGTGTCTAATGGCCCTCCATTTCTAAATTAATAACTATATACTTTGTTAATGCTCACAGCAATCTTATTTTTAACACTTTATTCTTCTCTCTCCTTAATTTATAAATGCTGACTCAGACATCAGTAGGAAGATTATAGTGGTTGGTATATAAATTGGTCTTAATCAGTTTCTGAACTATTTCAGAGAAAAGTGCATAGTGCTTAAACTTGTATCTGGTTCTCAATACTGTCAGATGTTTTGTGGGTTAAATTCATTATTACTAACATATGTCAAGGAGCCCATCACATTTTTATTTCACTAATCACAAAAAATAGCTTAATAGTATTAAAATTTTTTAAATAATGCATCCATTTATTTATAAATTTCCTTTGTAAACAAAGGTTTTGAAGATAACATTTTTTCTGGAATATGATTTTGAACTCTTAAATTTGCATTCCTTATTTCACATTACCCCTTCATATCTCAGCTATACAGAAAGAGTTAGAAACATGTTTATGAAGACTGGATATGGTTATAATCACTTCTTCACTTCTTCCTGAAATTTAATTCAACTGTTTCACTGCAGCATTGAATCTGACTCTCAGAAGGATTTTTTATGATAGTTTATAAGAATTTAGTGATCTGTTTTACTTCATAAAGGACATTATAAGGAACAAGGTGAAGAAATTACATTTCATATTCCCCTCAATATAGTGACATCCATGGGCTGTAGTCCAGTGTTTTTAAAGCAAGTACCTTTTCATTTTATGGTGGTCAAAGCCCATTTCATCTGCATTTCAAAAATCTAGTCCACTGAGTTCCAGAGAAATAATTTTCCCTGAAACATCACACAGTCAGTTCCAGAATTTAACAAGTTTTCCAGAAAGTGGTGCTGGAAATGCAGATAATGTCTAGATGTGCGACCCTCTATCTGTTGGCATAATTCAGAACAGCCTTTACCCACAAAATTGTGAAATAATTTTCTTGTAATTATGGTTTGGGAGTATCTTGGCGAGAAGGGTACTGGATATGAGTCAACAAAGAGAGGTCAACAGAATTTATTGCTTTCGGGACATTAAGGAAACGCAAAAGGAAACAATACCGATTAAAAGTATAAACTTCTGCGACTATATTCTTGGTTTATCTCGACTGGTTTTAGAAAATTTGCTACTAGAAAAGGACAAGACTCGTGCTCTTTTAAAGACACATCTCTTTGCCTTAAAAGGATGCAGTGATCCTTCTCTGGCAAAAATTGCCTTGCACTTTGATATTTTGGCCAAGCAAAGCCTGTATGCCTTCCAAGAGCGGCCGGTAACAAATAAGAACCTCGGAGCGCGCCCTGTGCGTGCCTCACTCCACCGCGGGCTGCAAAAGGAGCGGAGTTGTTCAGCTGGTGCTCCCGCCGGCTGCAGCGCGTTCCTGCATCGCCCGCCACCCGTCTGGGGGCCGGCCCCGCCCGGCCGCGGCTCCCTGCCACCCTCTCGCGCGCGCGCTCGGGGTGGGGCCTGGCGGCCGGCGGAGATGCCGCCGGAGCGCGGGGCGGGCGCTACGAGCCGGCGGGGCGGCGCGCCGGGGCAGCCCGAGCCGCGCGCCGCGTCGCTGTAATCGGAAACCCGAGCGCTCGCCCCCCACGCCCAGCCACTTTCCATTCACGCCGAGGTGCTTGATTGAGCGACGCGGAGAAGGGCTCCGGGTGCCGCGGCGCTGCAGCGCCCAGGATTCCTTTACAAAGAAACTCGGAGGACCGGGAAGAAAGAATTCGCTGCTGGGACGCTCTAGAAATTAGGGTCTGGGAAAAAGGATAGACAGCACGCGGAGCCACACCGGTAGCAAATTGATGACTTTTCCGTGCTGATCCCTTCTCACGTCGGTAAGCTGATCTAGTTATTTTCAGTCACAAATTTAGCAAAATGTAACTCCTGGGTCTGTTATCGACTTCTCTTTCACACGTCGGTGTGCTGAAGCTGGATATTTCCATAAGAGTTTGTCAGGCAAGTGTTTTCCTTGCTGAGAGTCCTGTTTGAGTTGTTTCTTTAGGTTATGACACCTGCGGAGAGTTTCAAGTTGAGTATTTCACTACCTTCTAAAGCAAAATTGCTGGAGAGGGCATGAAAGATTACTTTTGTTACGTGCAATTAGTGTACCATCAGAAGTGAAAACAACAAGCAACATGTTTAAGTGTCTGAGTTAAAGGGAAGAAGTTAAAATACAGGGGAGGGGCGGAGGACATGTGTAAGACACTTGACTCCCAGTCCCTTCTCATCTCTGGCTGGGCTTGAACCACATTGCTCTGTATACTTGCTTCATTGGACCTGTCATCTCGTCTCCGATATTATTATTTTCAATCTGTGGCCTGTCCTCTTTTGGGACGACAGGTAAAGTACTGGTAATAGTAATGTGTATAAGTGTATAAATATTTTTGGCCTGCTTAATAAAGAGACAAAGGATAGGCATATTTATAGCTTCCTTTTTTTTTTTTTTTTTTAGCTATAATCAACAAAAGTAAGGAACAAATTACTAAGGGAAAGTAACCCCATGAAATCAATTTTCTCCCAAATTAATTTAGGGATGACAGGGTGAAGAGGTTGTAGAAGCAGGAAGAAACAGTTTCTTTTGAAAATTTCCAATAAAAACATCTGTAGGGTTTCCACCATCTGTGTGGTAAAAGAGGAATACAATTCTGTTTCTAACTTACAAAGTACCAACTAGGAGATCAACTTATAATTTTGTTTAAAGTGGTGTGTTTTATTTATTGTGCTTTTTCTTCTGTCTTAATGAATTAGTCCTTTCAATTTTCAGTGGTACTTACTGAATAAAATTAGTGATAGGATTTTAATTTTAAAAACCATTTAATATTGATGGATCAGCATTATAGTAAACTGAAAAAATAAATTCCCAGATTAAACTCTGTCATGTCATTTTATTGTATAATTATGCTAGATTCAAAATTATGGGATTTCTTTTATGGTCCTGAGTTTATTTTCATATTGTGGCCACTCGAGCTCCTATAGATCTGTAGTTATGCATTAACTGATCTTCCTTGATATTCATACATTAGTTAATAATATGTATCAATTTATGGCTACAGTTTCAAAGATTAATACTTGTCTCTGATTTATCTTTTGGAATTTTGACAGCCTGATTTCTGGTTGATTTATTTTAAATATGTATTGAGGGATACATGGCTCACTGGATTGCTCACCACTAAGTCACTGGTTTGAATTTGGCATGAGTCCATGGTTACCTCATCTGCATCATTTAATAGCTGCATGGTCATCTGTATAAATTGGCAGATAACTAATTCAAGTGATTTTAGTGAGCAAGGATTGAGCACACAAATTTATGTATAGAAACACCATTTCAGAGATAATTACTCCAAAAAGAGCTAATATGTACATGAATGTTCATGTGGAATTTTCCTTCTACTACTGTATTTATGGTAGAAAGTGATACTTTCATCCACTGATACCTATTAGTAACATTCTCAAGTCTTTTCAATATAATTTTTAGAGAGAAGATCAAGTTTAAATATCAGTTGTTCTTATGGGAATCAATAATTTTTTCCTGGCTGCTTTGTTTAATATTATCATCATTTGCTGGAAGATGAAACACTTTCTCTTTCTGCAAAGACTTCCAGACACAAATGACACAAATCCAAATTTTCACATCTAAGAAGCAAAGTCACAGCACCTCCTACTGTTTGCATGACTGTAAAAGTCCAGCTATGTCTTTTGTGAATAGGATGTTCTGTATAGATTACTGGTTATGTATGTGCTCCTAAAATGTGAAATGAAATATAACAAACTTGTTTTCTCTCTTTTAAAGGTATATTCCCTCAGATACTGACTTGAAAATCTGAAGAAATGGCATTCCAGGCAATTTGCATGTTAGTTGGAGTATTTGTTTGTTCTATCTGTGTGAAAGGATCATCTCAGCCCCAAGCAAGAGTTTATTTAACATTTGATGGTAAGAAAGTTGATAAATACCTTGGGGAAAAACAATGTTATTTAAAGTCTATCTGTCTTATCCAAATTCAAAAATTAATAAATTAAAATTATTAAGTATTAATTAATTAAAACATGTAGGTTACTGCTTTTGGGGTGACATGACTATTTTGAGTTATTTAATAGACAAAAGCCCCCTATTGTGTTTGTTTATGAAAATGCTTGAAGTGTATTCTGCCCTTTTCTAAAAGTTTCTTCTTAATGGTCAGCTGGTGTTTGAGAAACACTCTTTATGTGCTAATCCTCATCAGCAGAAAGAGCTATGCAGGTTTAATTACTGAAAATTTTTCCTAATGAATTTTGGGCCTGTGCCCTAAAACCAGTCTCTCCATATATTGTTCTAATGGTGCTTCTATTTCCACAAGGAGTTCATGAGGTTGGCAGACCTCCTAATTAAGTGAAAAGGACCTTAAAGAATAGTTAGAAATGTGCTTTTGATCATTCTTGTGTACAAATGTTATCTTTAGAAGCTTAGGGAAATGGGTGTGATTTCAAATTTTCACAAACATGAAAGGTGTAAGATTCTTTGAGGGAACTGGTGCCAAATGTCCTCCTGAGCTTAATGTGTATGGTTCAAACAATTTACAGGTGAGGGATTTCCGTCAGTCACATAACCCATACTAATTGGACAGATGGACTAAGAAATGGATTAGGAAGAGCCTCCTGCCAATTAGGGTCATTTTGTATTTTTATTACTTCTTTCAACTCTGTCTCTGCATAAACCTCAATGTCATTGGGTATAATTTCATTTTCATTTGAGAACAGTATACTCTCAAACCTTCCTGCATGTACTTCCTATATATTTATATGACAGTGTAACAGACCTTCTGTTAACTTGAATTTCGAACAGCAGTATGAGTGATGCTTATCAGTCAAATACTATCTCTTCTTTCTTTCTCTGAGGTCTGAGGTCATCATAAGCACTGAAGGAACCTCATGTAGATCTTAGAGTGTGTGAACTTCTGATTGCTTCCTTAGCGTCTAAGCCAGGCATTCCCCTTAAAACTCATGGCTATCCAGTTAAACTGTGAAGGAAAAATAGACTTTTTGAAGTGTCTCTTTTTTTTTAATTACTAAAGCTTCGTGAAGTCTGCATATACCTTTTCTCCCAAATTGAGTACTACGAAATATCCAATAAGTAAAAAAGGAAAGGCATTAAAGAGCAGTACAATTTCTCCCATATTGTCTATATTTCTCTCAGTATATAGGAAGATGTTCTAATAGATTAGGTATCTAAACCTGTTCTATTACATCAAAACTTTCTTTAAAGCCAAATTTAACCCAAAATATGTAAATATTAAAAAACAAGTGTGTCTTCAGAAATAATTCATCAAGTCTATATTTGAAAAGATAATTACAATTTATCTTTTAGAGGAAATAAGTAATACAATCTTTTAAGATCATACTGTTTAGGACAGTAACCACTATGTATAAAATGACTGACTAGAAGTTATGATGAGTTTTTTAAAATAGTACCTGTCTAATATTTTGAATGCTTTCAGATGCAAAATAGGTTCTTACAGAATAAGACTTGCCTTAATTTATAGCATATGCATAATACAACATAGTAAGGTAAGCTATTGATCTGAAAATTTTAATTCCTGATATTTTATTCTTCCCAAGAGTCTTACTAGGAAATAATCAGAGATAGAATATCACTTAATTTGGATACTGTAATTTTAAAGATCTGTATTAATAGGGAGAGTAAACTTAATGAAATTACACAATTTCTAAATTAGTACAAAAAACTCTGGAAATGAACTACATATTTGGCAGAGTATCATAGGAAAAGTATCTTGAGCAAAAACAATTGTTAAGAAGTTAAATTTTAATCCTTAATTTAGTCACTTTCTTAAGAGATTTGATAGTGTACCTGCTTGAGTGTCTTATTATTTAAAGTTTCTGACTGATTTTAGGGTGACTTATTTGAATATAACACAGAGTAGGTTACTAAATTTCTTTAAAAATGGTTGAGTCTTGACATCAAAGTATAAAACTTTGTACTGGGTTGACATATTTATGAATATATCTTAATTTAAATATATATGATATAAATCTTTAATTTGTTTCATATTTCAAAATTTATATTACTAGTTCTCCATAAAAAATTATGAGTTGGAAGATGCTTTTAAGGAAATTCAAATAATTTCCAGTTGCAGCAGGCAGGGGTCATTTGTATCTTTATGTTCTTTCATAATTACTTTGTCTCCTGACTCCTTTGACTTGAAATCTCCTTCACTGTAACTTTGTCCTTTGAACTGCCTCTTTTGAAGAATTCTGAGTCTTATCTCACAGTTCAAATAAGATAAAAGTCAATTTGAAGGTGTGTGACACTATAGATTTCCTTTCCCAGCCAAGTTCCATTTCTTTTTGTGGTGGAATGATGGAGTGATAACATTTGGGAAACAATGATTTACAGATTTGTCTTCCCTACTGATGTAGCCCAAGGTCAACCAGATGGTCATCAGTTTTATGGGAGAATGTACTTCAGATGTTATTAATTAGTTACATTTGTGCAAGCTAAATCTTGCAGATTTATTCTAAATCCATGTAGAAAGAACTGTGACTTCTATTAGAAACTACATTTTGTAATTTTTATAATTCTCATTTAATGTCAAAGAGCTTTTCAAATGAATATAAAGTTAGTGCAAATCTTAAGTTGAATTTTTGTTGACAAAGATCCAATAGTTTGCCAGATTCACATTTCATAGTATTACTGTCATTGTATTTTTGTCCCAGAGGGTCTTTGGAATCTATGAGTCATAAGGAAAGACAAGACTACATATGTACCATAAATGAAATTTGTTTTGCTCGTTAATATACAAGGGAGGGCTTTGTTGAAAAGATTTTGCCTTTATTCAGTAGAAATTTTAGCATGTAATTTTCAAAACCAGGAACAAATATTCTATAATTTGATAAAAGTTATCCTTTGCATGTAATATTAAGAAAAGGTTATAAGCAACAGAAAAATGGAAATATTGTCTGTTCAAATAGGTGTGATTATTGAATAGGTGTAATAAAGTGTGATTAATGAGTTGAATGTGTTAAATATTGTTTCTTTTTAAAAATGAGGTAGATTCTTGTATTAATTTCTCATCAAGTAATTTAGACTATAAATCTTAGACATTTAATTTACTGATATGAAGTTATTCATGATACCGTCTTAATATCCTCACTATGTCTGTAGGATCTGTAGTAATGTTTTTTATTTCATTTCTGATATTCACAATTTTTGCCTGTATTCCTTTATGTTCTGACTGATCTGTTTAGAGATCAATTTTTCCATTGTATTGATCTCTTAAAATAATCAGCTTTGGTTTCATTCTTTTTTCTATTATTTTTCTGTTTAATATTTTCTTGATTTATGCTCCAAAATTCAATTCTTACTTCTTCTTGCTTTGTGTTTAATTGGCTTTTCTTTTGGAACTTCTTAGCATAGACTGATTTGAGAACTTTCCTCTAATATAGCGAGTTATGCTATAAAGGTCCCTTGAAAACTGCTTTAGCATTGTTCCACATATTTTTGATAAGTGCATTTTGATTTTCAGTCAGTTCAAATTGTCTTCTAATTGCTCCTGTTATTTTTTTATTTTACCCACTGGTTATTTAGAAATATGTTGTATAATTTACAAATATTTGGGTATTATATATATATATCTGTTGATCTCTGATTAAACTCTTATTGTCAAAGAACATACATAGTATGCTTCCAATTCTTTAAAATTTCTTTGAACTGATTTTACAACCCTGCATATAGTTTATATGGAAAAGAATGTGTATTCTGCTTTTGTCACATACAGTGATAGGTTAATGCCAATTAGATTCGATTAGCTGACTGTTAGGTTTTCTATATTCTTACTGATTTTCTGTCTACTTCTTTCAATTACTGACAGAAGAGGGTGAACTCTCCAACTGTAATTATAGATTTTTCTATTTATCTTTTCAGTTCTTTCAATTTTTGCTTCATGTTTTTGAATTTCTGTTACTAGGTACTGGCATATTTAGGAGTGTTGTGCCTCCTGATGAACTGACCTCAAATTAATTGACTATGAAATATCCCTGATCATTCCTGGTAATAATCCTTGTTCTAAATTTTTTTGTTGTAACACTTTTGTCTTTTTTGTATAATGAAAAATACCAAGAAAATTTTAGTGTAAATTAAGTGGGGAAAATGTCATTTCAATGGCCTCTAGGACATTTTTATTAAAATATTAGGAAATATGTTTAGTAGACATATATTTTTGAAATACATAAATGTATGAATATTAGTGTAGTTTAATGAGACTAGTAGTTACACGGAGATCAAAATAACAGGTTTTCAATCCTTGGTTCTTCACTAATTAACTCTGACACTTTGTCAGAACCTCAATTCCCCTAACCAGTGAAAAAAATTTACACTAAATGATCTTTAAGACTCCTTGTTGCCCTAAAATTATATAATATTTAAGCATAGTTTTGTTTCATAAATATCATCTCCTTTGAGGAAATCTCCAATAATTTCCGTCATTGCTTTCAGTAACATTTTGTTTGAAGGACCTGGGCAAGGAGAAGAATAAAAGTAAAAATATTTTTAAAAATTCATCTATTTGGAGTCATACAGAACTGGTTTTAAATCAATTTTCTGCTACTTTCTGGGCATACTACATTCTTGGGGTAGTTCTTAATCTCCTAATCCAGAACTTTATCATCTGTAAAATAGGAATAACATGTATTCCATAGAATATTTTTAAAATTAAATGAATTGTTTGTAAGTTGTATTGTGTGATATGTAGTGTGCATCCTATTACAATACATGAAAATTTGCACAGAATTAATATTGGTAAATTCCTTTAGCACAGAAATGTGGTCTTCATATGTACTGTAATTACTTCCCCTCCACTTGGCATAGAGACTGCTTGCTATTTGTTATTGCTCAATGAATGTTGAATTATTGTAAATTTTGATACATCTTCCCACTACACT